TTCAACATCTTACCCCATGTAGAATCAATACTGAGAATATTGTCAGAAGGGTGATAGGCACTTTAAGCTGTGTATACGACGCTCAAACTGTTATGTAAAAAAACAAACTTAACTGAATGAAATATAAATCCGTTTCAGGTGGGTCCCAGTCTTTTCGCGAGTAATATGGGCAGTGAACACTTTATAGGCTTGGCAGGGTCTGGTGCGTCTACTGGCATTGCTGTGGTATCCTACGAATGGCAGGTATGTCTGCGCACGTCAATCCAAAGACCAAAAATTGTTTTAGTCGTTTTCAATGTTCTTTCTTTCTTTCTTGAAAGGCCGTGTGGGTGTTGTTGCTTCTTGGCTGGGTGTTTGTCCCTATATACCTCAGGTCAAGGGTGAGTATTTGCTGCCATCAAGTAATAACTTGAGAAGGTTTCTATTATTAGTAAATAGACGCCCTGATATCGAATGTCATAATACAACGCTGTAGATAAAAGCGAGCGAACGGTCTGTATTTTCTATTAGGACATTTTGTTATTATCATAGAGAACATTGTGTGCGCGCTTTTGTGTTGGCCCGCAAAACTGAAGCCAGCAATCTAGGTAATCGTTTCGATAAATAGAATCGAGTTAAACTGTTCGCAGCGATGGCGGCAACAGTTTTAAAACATTGCCTTGCGTAACGTACCGTGTCGGTGCAACTGCAACGCACTGATTTTTGAACTCTAATCCGTGTAGCTTCAGCTTTCAATACAGAAGGGGGTAAAGTGCGCACCGTCAGTTTCCTAGAAGACCAGCTACTAGCTAAATGAACACAGACGCTAAATGAGGCCTTTTTCTAGGTTGCCTGTGGCAAACCAGTCTTAAAATACGTGGTTTTTTTTGTCCGCCGAGAAATCCGCAAAGCTGCGCAATACCATCCAGAAGTCAACACGTTAGTATCTAAGAGGCCTTTGCAATTTATGCCACAACGTTCTCATAAATTACGTGACAAATTACGCTGTCGAGTGGTGTGACATGCATGACGCAACACGTACGCAAAAATCCAGGCAGCCCAGTTTACGATTTTAGAGCGTCTTGTTCACTTTAGGCCTTGAATACCCAAGATATGAAAGAGTGTGCTCGAGGCTTTAAGCCATGGTTGACTAGATGGTTCTACTGACATTGTTCCCTTTTTCTCAAGGTATTTACCATGCCAGAGTACTTAAACAAGCGATTTCAAAGTCGTTCAGTCAGAACGTACCTCACTATTGCCGCTCTCTTGTCGTATGTGTTTACCAAAACATCTGTAAGTATCTCTCTTGCCTTTCCTTTCTTTTGAAACACGATTTCTTAATAATAACAAACGGGAGGTGCCGCGGGAAGAAGAGAGGGTGTGAAGTCTCATCCCCTCTTCCTTTCCTTTTTCCCTCGTAATGAATAATCTACATTTTGTTCGGTTGTTTATTTGTTAAGTTGCTTGGCTAGTTAATGTTGGTTGGTTGGTTGATTGGTCAGTTAGTTTGTTGCTCGGTTGGTTGGTTAGCTGGTTGCAATTGGTTAGTTGGTCGGTTGATCGGATGGTTGGTTGATTGGTTGGTTGATCGGTTCATTGGTTGATCGGTTAGTTGGTCGGTGAGTTGGTTGGTCGGTGAGTTGGTCGGTTAGTTGTTGTTGGTTGGTCGGTTGGTTGGTCGGTTGGTTTGTTGGTTGGTTAGTAGGTTGGTTGGTTAGTTGGTCGGTTACTTGGTCGTTGGTTGGTCAGTTGGTTGGTCAGTTGGTTGGTTGTTTGGTTAGTTGCTCGGTTGGTTGGTTAGTTGGTTGGTTGGTCGGTTGTGGTTGGTCGGTTAGTTGGTCGTTGGTTGGTTGGTTGGTTGGTTGGTTGGTCTATTGGTCGGTTGGTTGGTTGGTTGTTTGATCGGTTCGTTGGTTGGTCGGTTGGTTAGTTGGTTGGTTGGTCGGTTAGTTGGTTGGTTGGTTGGTTGGTTGGTTGATTGATTAGTCGGTTGTGGTTGGTTGGTTGGTTGGTCGATTGGTCGGTTGGTTGGTTGATCGGTTGGTTGATTGGTCGGTTGGTTAGTTGGTTGGTTGGTTGATAGGTTGGTTGGTTGGTTGGTGGTTGGTCGGTTAGTTGGTCGGTTGGTGGTTTAGTTTTTTGGTTGGTCCGTTGATTGGTTAGTTTATTTTGTTGGCCAGTCGGTCAGAGGATCCATCGATCGGCTGTTTGCAAAAAAATTGTATTCATTAGCAATTTCATAGCAAACTTTTATTTGATGAATCCTGAACAAAGAGTATTATATATACATTTTTATTACCCAGGTCGACATCTACGCTGGAAGTTTGTTTCTTTACGAAGCTGTAGGATGGAATATATATGTCTCTGCTGCTGTTATTTTAGTCATCACCGCCGTCTACACACTTCTCGGTAAGATCAGAGATTAAGTTAGATGGTTTTATGACCACTGTGTACGTTACATTTTATCCTACCCTTCTGATTGGATGAGCTGCTGCGGTCCTTAGTCTCTTGAGTGTTTGATGGGCTGCAATTCGCAATGCTGTATTTGGCGTAATGACAGTTGTAGCACTGGTTTACGTACGTAAATGTCTGGAAACAAAAAACAAAAAAAGCCATCGATTAAAGGGGGGATCCAAGTCTTATGACAAGTGATTTCGAGTCTAGGAATCGAACCCGAAACGTTCCCAGAGGTGAGTGCACTACCACCACAACACCCTTTAGTCATGACACCTAAGAGTAATACGATACTGGGATATAATAATTTATATTTTCTCTCTTTTTGTCAAGGTGGTCTTATGGCTGTCATTTTCACCGATGTGCTACAATGTGCCATCATGATCATCGGAGCTGTTGTGCTGTCAATACTAAGTAAGTGCTGCAAGCATCAACACCCAGATTAACTGGTGCCAGTGTTGAAAGAATGTCGATCATGGACATTTTGTTCTGGCCTGAAAAATGCCAATGTTCTGATCCTTTCGTCTTATGATTGTTACCACATGAAAACCCGCGAAATGAAGACTCGCATCTTAAAAAGGACTTGCCCTAGATCCTTGTATGTCATAAATAACATGTCCTTTGCACTTTGTTGTGCAGGTTTTATCAAGGTTGGAGGCCATGATGGATTATGGTCAAAATACGACAGTGCTTTGGGAACACCATGGAAAGCCCCCGTGGCGAATGCTTCAAACGCCTCCGTCATGGCAACAGTTGCACTTAACGGTAGTAACGTCACACAAGGTTGCTACAAGATGACTCCATACTGGGGCAACATGTTCAGGCCTCTAGATGACCCTGATTACCCCTGGTTGGGACTGTGGACGATCCTACCCATTATGGGTGTATGGTATTGGTGTACTGATCAGGTAAGGGATTAGGGGGTATGGGGGTTGGATTTTAAATAAATAATAACCTTTTTTTACGTGAAAAGTACACTTAGCTGACCGCTAATTTACAGTGTAGTCCACAAATTAAAAAACTGCAATGAAGAAATAATCTAAGAAACATGAGACCTGGATCTTGACATCTGCCAGCTTGATCGAGTCAAAAGTAAACACTTGTATAGAACCTTATGGGATGTTTTCAGTTAGGTGTAGTGGTCATAAGATCAACCGGCTGGCACTTGAAGCTACTAATTTTGTTGCGATTTTAGTCAGCACCACTTGAGATTTCGTTTGACTTTGAAATTGCAAATCATACGACATTCCAGCGGTACGAAAATCGAAGACCTACTTTGAACCAATCAAGCACGCAACTGAACATGCTTGGAAAACGTTAACCAAACCGTTAACGTCATGATCAAGATCACGGCACGGCAAGTCCGTATACGTTTTTCGAGTTAGTCCTTCAATTAAACAAATTCCATATTATTTTCTGGTTTGGCGCCTTGCAATAGAATAGTCAAATATTCCCCTGTTCTTTTCCTTAGATGGAGGGGCATTTGAGAAAAGAATCAAATTTAACTCGCAATCTCAATATTCCTAGGTCATTGTGCAACGTGCACTTGGGGCCAAGAACAACTTGCATGCCAAAGCTGGAACCATCTTCGCTGGTCTCCTGAAAATCCTACCTTTATTCATTATGGTTATGCCTGGCATGATTAGCAGAGTGTTATTCCCAGACTCCATTGCGTGTGCAGATGGTCCCAGCTGTCTGCATTACTGTGATAACAAGTGGGGATGTACGAACAATGCCTACCCCAAGTGAGCTTTCAATATATTAAGTAGAATCAATGGCGGGTCCACATCAATTCGAAGGTAGAGGGAGGGAAGTGACTGTTACCTAGGAAGGCATCACATAGCGTCCTTTTTTTATTTTACCTTAAGACGAAATTTTTTTCAATAATGAACAATAATGGCAAAAAGTGCCAAAAACTAGACTTGCGTATGAGTTTTCATCCCAATTTTCGTTTTGGGTAAACACTCAAAACCTTTTTTTAACAGTTAGAAACTGATGTACTATGATAAACTATAACACTTTAATTCCACTTGCATCGGTCATCTCCAGTTCCAAACAAGTTAAACTTTCTGAATAACAAGATTTTAGCCTTGTACARCAGCCTTTCTTCAAGAAAATAGTTTTTGGCGCTCACCGCTTGAATACGAAAAGAATTCTCTCTTAATATCCTTAATTATCATTATTTTCTAACTCCAAAGGGGGTTGACTAGTCACCAAAACCGACCTGAATGGTTTCACGTGTGTTGGAGAAAAATACAATTAAATGTTCTTCTTTGGGAATTAAAATATTTTAAAATATTTCTCCTGCCCAATAACTTGGCTGATATGAATTTCCTGTATAGAATATATCGAGCGTGTAGCATTCTTAGACTTTCAATCTCTTCCCTGCCAATGTGCATTGCACCTCGGGGAAGCGAAGAAAATTAAATCTAATAATAATAAATAATCTAATAATCAACAAGAAAGTAAAAATGATAACTCCTTTACTGCAGGCTGGTTCTGAACGTGTTGCCAACTGGTCTTGTTGGTCTGATGATGGCTGTCATGATGGCTGCTCTCATGTCATCTTTGTCTTCAGCCTTCAACAGCAGTGCCACCATCTTCACCGTGGATGTTTGGCTACTGCTACGACAAAGTGTGAGTCTACCTTTAAAGTATCACCTTGCAATTGGCTCTTTAGAGTGTTGTGGTGGGTCTTTTTGCACGATTATATATTGACTTGCATCAAGCCCTCTGTCTTGGTGTTGCTTGGTGTCTGAAAATCGGATAAATCTCGGATGCAAGTGCTTCAGAATCGAATCCATGCTTAGTGACAATCACTAGTTTGCTCGTCTTCATGAATATGGATATTGATTTCTTTTAGGCTTCAGAACGTGAGAAACTGATCGTTGGTCGTGTCATTGTTGCGGTACTTGTCGGAGTGAGCTTGTGCTGGCTTCCTATTATCCAAGGTACTGTATCATCACTCACCACCGCGACCATACAATGTAATCTAAGATCCGTGGAAGATATACTTCAAGATACTCCTCAATCATCACCAACGCCAACACCAGCACCATCAACATTATCAACAACAACATGCATAACTCTTTGTTTGGTAACAGATAAAGACACTTTCATGCAAACAATGCAACGGTTAACCTTAAGCCATACAGTGCAATCTAATATCCAAGCAACTGTAAAGGAAGGCAGGACGAAATGTTTTATTCCAGAAGCTTAAGTTTGCAACAAGGAAATGAATTGATTTTTTCTCTTGACGGCGCAGGTTCCGCAGGCAGTGAGTTATTCGTGTACATCCAGACAATCCAGTCTTATCTTGCTCCACCAATCACCATGGTATTTGGACTGGGTATCCTGTGGCCTGGTCTGACCGAGGCTGGTGCTTTATGTGGACTCATTGTTGGACTATTTCTTGGTCTCCTCAAGTTCATCTTTGGTAATGTGTACCCTAAGCCTAACTGTGGATTAATTGACGATAGACCAGACTTTGTTAAGTTACATTTCATGTGGTACGGTAAGTACGAGTACGGAGCCTTATATAATGTGCATTTACTAAAAGTCTGATTATATAAGGTTGGATAGAAACACATTGCTCCAGCAATGCTCCATTTTGCGCCTGCATATTTGTTTGGGGATTCCTCTAAACGGTAACGAATGGGCCGAGAAAGAAGACTGGACAGAGCTTTTTGGCAAACAAGATTTGGTTACACCTTGAAAAATTTCCAGCATAAACAGTAAAATTCTAATTGTTAAAAGAAAAAATTAAACCTTGAGTGGGTATATTGTTGCTGGATCGAGCTGTATCCTTGAAGAAGTAGAAAACGCGCGTGCGTATTGTGTGCTGTTATAAAGCAGCAGCGAGAAGTACGAAGCGTAGCTTATACTGATACCTGCATAACTGTTATTTTATAATATCTCTTAGTCCATACACGATGTGTAACTTAACTCGAAATGTTTTTCCCCCCTCAGGTCTGATCATATTCGGTGTATGTGGCATCGTAAGTGTAGGAGTGAGTCTCTTCACTTCAAAAGTACCTCGTGAAGAACTTGGTGGTTTGACGTGGCCAACGATCAACGATCCTCCAATCTCTCACGGAGCAATTGGAGAAAAAGGCTCGTCTTTGCATTCTGGTGGCAATAAGTATGAACTGCCTCAAATAACCAAATCTGCCTCGAATGGTGTGGAGATGGGTAAGTTAAATTGCATCCTAAGTGTTTTAAGCAGAAGGACTTAGTCATTCGGAACCTCCTCTTTAGTTGTCCCATAGTAAACCACCTCTTTCGCTACATTAGGTTTAGTTTCTTTGTTTGTCCAATCTATTGTCATTTTAATCCTATGTATAGGTTTTCAAAACAACGCCCCTGTTTAGCAAAGATCGCTTTTCGAAACAACCCTAACTTTTATTCTTTATTGCCATGTGTTTTCCAGGAAGACACAACCCAACCATCGACACTAAAGACGAAGTAGAAGTGCGTCCAACATTTAAAGGCCACCTCGAAGGACAAAATTTCCAAATGAAAGAGTACCTTGATGTCGTGCCGTTCGCTAAGGAATCTGCTCTCACCAAGTGGGGTTTGAGATGCTTCAGCGTCTGCACCCTGGGAGCTTTGATCTTCCTGTGGATCTACTATAGATAATGGCCGAAATACTTGACAAACTGGCATTAACGGACTTCTTAGGGAACATTCATTTTTTTTAGAAGGGGGAAGGGCCGTAAACATATGTGCCCAATCCTCCGACCCCTCCCCCCTCACCTTATCTTTGAAATTTTAAAATCGCTATCCAATACCCAGCTGATAAAATAATAATAAATTGATAATAACCAGATAAAATTTAGAACGCCCCTCCCGTTTTCTCTAAGTAAAAATGAATCTTCCTTAGGACATTGAACCAAATTTCTACTTCTGTGACGTCACATGCAACATCGCACCGTGTGACACACCAAAAACAGGCTTTTTTATGCAACTTTGCAGGCATTGTCGCATCGTCTGTCCGCCCCTTAATAGTTTTGTTTACAATAGAGCAACTGCTGCTCGCAATTTTTTTATTTACTTCACTTTGGCTTTGTATCACTCCTCTAAATGCAATCGTGTGAAAGTTTTGATCGATGCTATCAGTAAAAAATACATTTTCTTCCTTTACAATTGCCATAAATACTATGATCTACGATTCTTTACACTTGTTTCATATTGTTCTAAAAACGGTGGTAGATTTCTCCGTTGCGCATAACAGTTACAATACACCTTGCATTGCATCAGATCTTTCTTGTTCTTTGCTTGAATATTCTCTATATTCTGTATATTTGCGAGTAAGTCAAGTAAAGAGAAAAAATCACAGGGATTTTATAGGTGGGAAGATTAAGTTTGTAGAAAACCTTATAGAACAGTTTTTAAATCGCCGTGTAACATCTTCAAGTATTATTAAAACCGATTCTTAAACTGTGATGAGTAGCAATTTCTATGAACCTTATCGATACCCTGAACAACCTCTGGGCTGATTTAAGTCAGGGCAAGGCTGTAGGCGCGATTGCACAGAGCAATTTTCTCTGCGACTTGTGTTGCAACGGCGTTGCGACACAAGTTGCATGGAGCATTGCAGCGTGTAACCTACAGCTCAATTTGAAAAAATGTTGCGAGACAAGTTGCAGCAATTCAGTTGCAAAAAGTATAATTCGTTTCTACTTTTGGCAACGATTGCGTCTCCGTTGCACCGTGTAGACACTTGCAATTCAGTTGCGAAGACAAGTTGCAGAGAAAATTGCTCCGTGTAATCGAGCCTTAAGTCACAGATTGGATTGGAATTCAGATTGTTATGTTTTGGAGCGCATTACAATTTTGCCAATTTTGTTTTTGGAAAACCCGGATAAAACACTCGCAAAACGAGGTAAAGACCTAACAAACTCTATTCTGAGTCCAAGAATGGAACGTCACTGCAGACCACAGTGGTGAGTGCGCTACCATTACTTATTGGTTCCCTCCAAATTTTTTTCTTTTCGGATGGGATTTACTTTCAATAATTGTAAAATTTAACTGAAATACGAGTTAAGGCGCAACCAGGGCGCAACATTGTGCACAATATTGTAGGCAATGTTGCCGAATAAGGTCGTATTCTACTTCAGTAACATTGCGTCCAACACTTGCATCGTGTGACATGGTTCACAACATCGATTTCCTGCAACATTGCGCACAATATTACAGGCAATGTTGCTGAAGTAGGATAGTTTTCTACTTCAGCAACGTTACGTGCAACACTTGCATCGTGTGACCTGGCTAGCTCACGACATCGATTGCCTTCAACACTGAGCGCAATATTACAGGTAATTTTGCTGAAGTAGGGTCGTCTTCTACTTCAGTAGCATTGCGTGCAACAAATTGTGTCGTATGACATGGCTCGCAACATCGACTGCCTGCAACATTGCGCGCGCAATGCTGCACCGTGTCCGTAGCTTAAATCAGATAGAACATCGAAAAGCCAAACGTGAAACCTTGTCTGTGATAAAATCTAATTGTAGATTCAAAATTTCCGTTGTTTCGACTTTTGAGAATTCCATGCACAGGCTTTTTAAAATTATAACGAACATTTTAAAATTTTGCCCTTAAAACAAACCACTGATAGAGAGAGGTGAAGTGCACCAAAAAACGGTTACACTTTCATTATAAGCAGTTGAACTTTGACTTACATTTTAGCCACGTTCAGTACAGCGGTGAATTATTTTACCTTATTCAGCTAAAATACACGACGAATAGGCGAAGAGACACGAATATCGGTTGTAAGACCACAACAGAATGATACAGTCCTTGGATTTATATCGTATAGGTTTTATTACAATTATTGGTGTTTACGTACTTATTTTGGTTTAGCTTGAGCAGCGGCCTTCTTTGCTTTTATCATCTCGACAAGTTCCTGGAAAACAGCAATAGAAAGAGGTTTAACTCAAAGCCAGACAAACAGGCCAATATTGACCTACAAATCGTCAGGCTGAATGACTGACCGAACGGCCAACTGACTTGCAAATTGAGAAGACAGACAGTGAGACAGACCGACGGACCAAATAACTCAACGACTGACTGGCTTACTAAGCAACAGACCGATAGGCCAATATTGACTTGCAAATAGACCTTTTTCTCAAGGTTGCGTGCGCATCCAAATTTAAGGAACTTGACGGGCCACGATACCAGAACAAGAGATTTATAATGAGAACTATCATACATTTCTATTAGATTTTTCAATAAAAATTTATCAAATCGATTATTCTCATCTCCAAATATAAAACTGGATTGACTTAAATTTTACTGAATTTGCGTTTTTCAGTTTTGTGGCCCGTTAAGTTGGATGCGCACGCAACCTCGAGAAAACGGTCTATTGTCAGGCTGAATGACTGATCAAACGCCCGACTGACTTGCAAATTGTCAGGTTGATTGACTAATCGACCCACCCACTTACTTACTGACGTACCAAGTGACCGACTCACTGACTGAGCAACCGACCAACTGACCGTCTTAATACAGATCGAATGACGAAGCAAACAGACCAATCGTCCTCTTGTCAGAGAGTAAGTCCTTCCTGRACAAACCTCCTTCAGACATTTACAGAAAGACATAAAACAAAAACTCATTCATTTTACCTTGTATCTTTTCATGCATTCTTTTTTAGTTCTGCCAGGGATGGACTCAGCGATTCTGTCCCATCGTTCAGGAGTATTGGCTGGGAACTTGCGAAGAGCCTCTTCTAGAAGCTAAACACAACAAACCAATGCATGGAAATTTGTGAATATCTTGGCACCGAAGAATAGACTTTTAGGTCTGACGTCATAGCAATAAAACATGACCTCCGGGTCATAAATGAAAAGCTCTACCGACTTTAAATGAAAAAGATCTTGCAATGTACTGTTACACACCGATCATTAAACCTCCATTAGTTTTCGTTTTCTTTTGTAATGGAGAAAAGGGACCGGAAATACGTCACAAACATTAATAGCTCTATCCTTCGTGAAAACGAGGGATAAGACCCTTAACAATTATGTACCTTCTGTTCATTTGACGACCAGGGTTTTTCAACAGGAGCTTTTTCTATTGAGAAAAGGGTTAAACCATACGAAGAAAAGTTAGATGTAGTTTTACTGAGACCGCGGTGGGCCTACAGTGACATATTTTGTTAGTGTTAAAGGAAATAGTTTAACAAATTGCTCATAGATTTCCATTGTCTGTCCTCTTATTGATCATAGATGACGTCTTAAAATGTTCAAAACTCAAGTGGAACCACGAGCGCTGCGAGTCTTATGTTTCTTTATGTTCTAATGTCTCTTGCTAAATTTAATCGAATGGCTCGTTTATGCGGGTTTTTAATGTACTTAATGTTGCGTGTTTTAATAGACTCACCATCGTATCTTACAGTAGGTACTGATTCACTAGGGACAATGTTGTGTGTTTTAATAGACTCACCATCGTATCTTACA